CCCACACACAAACATTAGCAAATAAGTAGGGATGTTTGCCAAACTGGGCAGGAGCATGTTTCAGCAGTGCAAGCGCAAGGCTGGAAATCAGGAACTTCAAGTCCAGTTTAAGCACAATCACCAGGTCATGTGGTTGCTAGTCATTAAAAACTTTTCCACTGTCGCTCCACCAGCAAGGCAGAGGGTGGCTGGGGTCACTATGCTCAAACACACTGCTCTGGAAGGCCTTTCTCCCATGGGGGTGGCTCCTGCTTCATGCCCAGGCACGACATGCAAAAATCACGTTAATCACATTTTTAGCAGGCAAGAACAGGGGCCCATGGGCAACACAGACCAACACCTGCAAGCAGTGTATGCTGAGCACGAGCTGAGCAGACTCTGGGGCTTCAAAAGGAAAGGCAAGTATGGGATTCTGTGTTCCTCTCCTACCCAAAACAAAAAAGCTTTCCATCACATGTGCATGCAGCAACCTCAACTATGAGCTAACCAGTACACCCAACGCATGTTCAGGAAGGGGAATGGCTCCCTTGGTTGGAGGCTCAGAGTCTCCCTCCCAACCATCTCCACAGGCAAAGGAATCTGGAGAATGAAGATGAACACCAAACAACACATGGAAACACTGTCCACGCACACATTATTCTGTCTCCAAATGCCCAAAGGTTCCCAAAGGGAAAGCACAAACCAGTTAAACATTGTCACAGAAAAGTTTGTGCTTTACCCCGCCAGACTGAAACTTGACGTTGACAAAAATGTTCTTGTTGTGGGTATGTAGAGCACCAGTCCCAAGGCCCTTGGCTGCGGGCTCCAGCTGCAAGGGAAAGTTGTACTCCATCCAAGCCATCCAGCTGAGCTGCTGCCGCTTTGCTGCTCTCTCCTCACAGAACTGGCACATTTTGGTGCGGAAATCATTCACCTCTGGATCCTGCACAGAGTCAAACTCATGCAAACCTAAGTGGAGAGTAAGAGAGAAAGGCAAAATAAGCATCTGCACCCAATGGGGGAAATCAGTGTTTGATAATCAAGTGTCTGTGAAACAGTCTTCTAAATACATGCTTAATATTTGGACAAAATGAGGAGAGTCAGCCAAGCTACTAATTATCACTTATTTACTCCAGACAATTGCACCGACTCAATTACTATAGCCCTCTGCAAACAGGAGGGCTCACCCTTCTTGGGTCTGCACACACACTGTTCCCTTACCAGATCCACCAGAGACCAAACTTGCTAATTTCATCTCCTGCATAAGCAGGGCTCCATCACTATTCCATACATGGCAAGACTGTCTAGGACAGAAGCACGTTTGACCTACAGCCAACACTCCTGGTGAGACCAGCGATGGGGGAACTGACCTTTTCCAATGAGCAGGCTGATCTGGGAGTTAATAACCTTCTTGACCCTGTCGCCTTCTCGAGCCACGAGCCGCAGTACTGGTAGGAAGGGCTGGATGTCACAAAGCCGCCGTTGTTCATCCACCAGCTCCTGCTGTTCTGCTGTCTGGTTGATGCACGTGAAGACATAGGCCTCGGGATCACTGAGCATGTGGTAGAGCGGCTCATACTGGGCATGCTTCCACAGCACCTGGGCCACAGCAATAGCAGGGTGAACCTACCACCACACTGCCAGAACCTCGTCCTCCTCTCACTGTCACCCCACAACCACACTCTCCCAAGACAGACCATTTAGCGAAGGGAATGCACAGCAAAACCTTCCCACAGCACTTCTGGACCTGCAAAGCCCAGGCTGCTTTTCAGCCAAGTCTGGCAGCTCCAACTTGTGCTGAACTGCTGAGTAGATTTATCTGCATTAACTGACTTCCTTTTTTCATGCTTGCCATTTGTTTCAGGCGAAGTAAATCCCTCAACCTGAGTATTTAAATAACCCCCACCTGAACACCTCACATTACGTACCTGCTGACTGCTAGCCTCGTGAAATAGAGGTATTTACTACTCCCACTAGAAGGAAAATTGGGTTAAGTAACTTGCCCCTAGTAACATGAAATCTGTGTCAAGAGCCAAGAACTTCTCTGAAGTCTTCTCAACACTATCCAGTTCCCCAAGATCCTTCCCTGCCAGCAGACAGCAGCTCCACATGACTGTTCATATTCCCTTTCTGCACTCTCATTGTAAGCACCTGCTATAAAACTCATGAGTAGATGGGCCTCTGCTCTGACCCAGTATCCCTACAGCTGTACAACACAGACCTGTAACTTCACAGCTGGATCCAATCAGCTCTACTGACAGGTTTTTTTCTTGTTGGTTTTGTTTTGTTGTTTTTTTTTTTTACCTGAAAACTGCAGCATGAGAAAACTTGGAATAATCTGGCACTGAGCTTCTGTCCCTTGTGATGTGTGACTCATCTAGGCCAGGTTGCTGCTGCAGAGAAAAACCTACTCCACTGTTTTCCTTCACTCTCCCCTAACCCTGCTTCCTGCCCAGGAAAACAAGGAAGCAGCCACATTTTGTTTATACATGGTTTCACTACAGCATTTTATTCCTCAAATGAAGCACTAAGAAAAATCCTCTTTATCATTACCATTCCATATTTTCAGTATTCAGTTTCTGTGAGGTAAGAGAAGGCTAGGCTGGCATCCTCAATGTTTTGAGTCAGCCCAGCATCTCTACTTGACTATTTGGGGGTGACCTCTCTTACTTGCATGTGCATACACAAGGTATTTCCTAATGAAAAATCCAGTGTGGGGACTGGTTGGGTCAGGTGAGCAGTAATTGAACACACAGTCCACAAGCCCTATGTGGTCGACACAAATCTGCCCTCACTCCATAGTTACTCTAATTCTCATCCCAAGGTTGGACAAGTACCCAGAGAATTGAGCCCGACACCAGTGGCATCACTGCTGGCAGTCTCAACAGCCAGACGTGGCTTTAGTGGATTGTAGAGGCTGTCACAAAGGAGGAGCTCTCATGGTGAGTCACAAGGAACTGCCTCAGAGCAATGAAGCAGAAACCCAGCTTGCACTGAGTTCAGACCCAACGCATTTCCCCAGATACTTCCCAAGAATAGACTCCTTCCTTGTTCCAAGAATTGCAGATAAGGCTATGGAACAAGGCTGTTACCTGCTTGATGGTGCCCAAGCTGGCATTGCAGGACACAGAGAGGTTTAAGTATATGCCTGTGGGCAGCAGAAAATCCACCTGGATGTTTTGGTTTTCCCCCTTGGACCAGAATTCCGTAGGGCAGTAAATGCCTGGGGGCATCCTGCTCACTTCTTAGCTACCACCTGCAACAAAAGGGAAAAAAGTCTGTTGCTGTTGACCATATAATATCTCCCTGGATCTGTGCTGGGGTCTGTAGAAAGTTGGCACGCAAAAGGACCCAAAGAGAGGAAGGTTGGTGTATCCTCATAGCTCAGGAAAATATGCACCTTAGTCAAATTTCCAGTCCATTGCCTTTAAGCCACAGAGTCGTTCTTGCTATAGAACTTGCTTCTGTTTCAATGCAACCCTTTCCTAATCTCTTCTAGTCTGGGATTAATATCAACTTTATACTTGACAAAGAAATTAAAAAATTATCTTCCCTTGAGAACAAAAGCACTTGTCCCAATAGCTCATCTACCACCAAGCAGCCAACAGAAACAATGAGTCCCTACCTCTGGCTTTGTAAGGCAATCCTCAGGCCACATACTCCAAGCTCCACTTGGTGTTTCCAGAGCTCAGTTCCAGTCTGCAAGAGGGAGAAAGAGGTGTTGCTGGTTCTGAGTATGCATGCATTTTCCTACGTACAAATAAATAATACTCTGCTGTATACCCCCCCGCCACCGCCCCGGGCCTGTACAAGTGCAGGAGAAATGAAATCTAAGTCAGAGACAATCAAAATAGGTTTGTTAATTCCATCTGCATCCTTTCACTTGGTAGGGCTCTACAATTTATTGTCAGTAAATCCAAAGAATGCAAATAAGAGGAAAAGAATGTGAATGCTACCAGGTACAAACTGTTGTTTTCAAATACAGGATGAGTGCACACATGAACAGCTGAAACAAAAGGCATTCAGCAGAAGCCTGTTGAACAGTTTATTTTTTAAAGACATATAATACCAAAGTCAGACAAACCCTCACACTCCACCCATTTGCCCACAAGCAAAATACTGCAGCAGTATAAAACTCCAGTTTCCTCCAGAGGTGACAGGCAGTAGACTGTCGTGTCCCCACATGCAGGAAAAGCTTGGAGCTGTCAGCATTAGCTCCTAGAAAGAGACCGGTAAGCGGCTTCAACTAATTCTCTTCAACCACTTCAGCAGAGAAACCAGCTCACCTAAATTCCCTCTCACCAGAATTTTCCCACCAGGTCAGCAGAGAAGTGTGCCAGTAGTACAGCCTGGAAGGTGCTCACACAGCCACGTCGTAGCTGCTGTGGAAACCAGGCTTCAGCCTCCTGCCAGTCTGACTCTTTACTGGTTCTAAAACCAGCCCTGCACGTGCCCTGAGTAATTCTAAGTGTCACTTATCCTTCAGACCATGAAACCAGCATAAAATCTGCTCATTCACAACTTAAAATATGGCTTCACAGCTGTCAGACAAAGTACAAACTTAGAAAGAAACTGAGCAACATGCTGCTGAAGATTTGGGTCTCCCAAATCATGAAGTCCTGCTGGCAGCTTCTGATGAGCCAGCCCTCTGCGTCAGTACGACGAGAAGTCCAGCATCTTATCTGCCAGTGCCTGGGAGCACACCACTTCCCCATCAGCAATGAGGTAAGGATTCCCAGAAATACAAGCTATGTTTTATCTGTCCTGCTTCCTCAGCACACATGCTGTATCACACAGAGACCGGATACTGAGACCACAAAACCACCCATGTGCTTGAAAAGGGAGGGAAGGGTTACAAAAGGGGGAGGAGGCAAGGGTTACAAGTTTGAATAAAGCAAAACAAGCTTGCCTCCTCTTCTGTTCATTAACAAGAAAACCAGCAAGTATCTAAAATATCTGCTACCTCAGCCTTTCCCAATGGCAACAAAAGAAGCAAATTGCCATGACTCTACTGACCAGCATAGAGGGAAGATAGAACAGCTGAACTGCTTCCTTCTGCTGAGGATTTCTACCTGATGCCACATCCCATCGGATATGAAGTGCCTTATCTAAGCTACTGGCACTACAATGTCAAGTTCAAGTTGCTCAATACCTCGTGTCTTTCCAAACTCACTAATTATCTCACGATGTAGAGGGATTTTTCCAACAGAACCTGGGCTAGATATGTCAAAGGAAGAATAACTCTGGATTTGCACTGTCTCCAATACTTTGTGTACCAAGCGTCTCCCCTTCTCATTGCTAAATCCAGAATGCTGTACTAGTTCAACCTTAGATCTGACCCAGCGTGACAACTTTTACAAGAAGCAAACTCTGCATAAATTAATCCTCCTGCACCACCCCACTTTCATCTTCCCTTTTGCCTTGGAAAATTGGAACAGAGTGTTCCAGGCTGTAACCTCGTTTGCACTATCTTGACCTCACGAGTAAACGTAATGGCAATTCCCTTTTCTCTGGATCATTTTGCCATTTGTGAATGGCCAAATGCATCATCGCTCCTTTTGTCAGGGTTTAACGCCACTGGGCTTGTTTCAGATATACTCTTTCACTGCAGCAGTCTTTATAAAAAGGATTCCCACTGCAGCTGTCAATTTTTAAAAGCCACAATGTCATCTCAGACTTTCCTCCTGGTGGACAGACAGATTATTGTTAATTTGCCTCAATTCATTATTTGACAGGAAAGCTACAGACTGCTTTGCCCTCTTTAAGGTTTCCCCTTGCATGAGTTAGTGTGAAGGTAATAAATGTGGATCTTTCCCAAAGAGGAAAGATGACCAAGGCAGACCCGATATGCTCACAGGACTAGTCTACACACAAGCCTGCCAGGGCAGAACATAAAGCCCCACTGGTCCTGGACACCATATAACGAATATAGGCACAACATCAGTAATAGCAGGTAGTATGTTTTGAGTTCACACACCCCGAGGAATATATAGTTGTACATAAAGGCAAATTTATGCAGAGAGTAATGGACACATTTGAAATTACCCAGTCAGTATTTAACAAGCCCGCAGTCGAGATAAAACACGCTAACACAAATCTCCTCTGATGAAGTTTATCAACCACAAGTCTGGTGTTTACAACATACAACTGCTATTGAGAGAGAAAAAAAAAGCAAAAAAAAAAAAGGCAGCAAGCTAGCAAGATCACCCACATGGAGCAGCGTTCCATAAACCTCTGTGAGGCTGCAGCCTTAGACAGACACGGAAGCTCCAACGCCCACAAACAGATTACAAAATTACTAAACCCCAGGACTACAAAAATACCTTTCAAGTTTATAAGAAACGAGCAGCACAGAGCTCACAGGTGACGTTGCGTGGGAGACAGCAGGAAGTCACTTTCATTGCAGCCATCAACTTAGCTGGGGGAGGAGACCACGGGAATTTTTATGTACACATGTGCTTGTCATGTCTTTACCACACAATCAAAACACATTTAGCAGATTTGAATCAACCCAAAGCTGTCATAGGGACAGATCCATTTCATTGAGTGTTCTGAAGGTGATTTAACCTTGGACTTGTTTTTTTGGTGGGAGTTATAGGGTAAACCAGGTACACTGTCAGCAAGACATTTGAACATTGACAGACTGTAAAATGAACCCACAAATTCCCCTCCAGGACTAGGAAAGCTCCCAAAGCAGGTAAACATGCCTCCAGAGACACGCAAACAAGTCAAACCATGATCGTATGTGGGAGTTTTGGAGGGGGAGTCCCCCCTTGCTGGACTAGCTGGATACTCATACCCACTTAACTTCATCACACAGGAAAAACACGCTGTATCTGCTTCCCTTGGGGCATAACATAAAAAAATCTGTTTCAAGCTCCAGTCCCGTGATACGGATGCAACCAACAGAAGCTCATAGTAAGACTGGCCTTTGCAGCTCTCCCTGCTGACAAGAATCAACGACCTGGCTCTTTATTCATCTAAAAATGAATATATGCTGGTAAGAGGTGCTAGAAACAGCCTCAGGGACTGCTGGCCTGCAGAGGTGCAAGTGTCTGCTGTGCTGCACCATTCACCCCAACTGAGCAGGGACCTCCAACACAGCAGATCAGACTTGATGCTCTAGCCAGCCTCTTGACAGCAAGCTGGACTGGGAGCTCAGGGCCATCCCCTGCAGGCTGCCACCAAGAGCGACTCTGAGCCTGGACATTCAGTGGGCAGCAGTCTTTTATGCCAGAAGAATGGCTTTGCTGCCTTCTGGAATACCTGTTAACATCATTCATTTTGGAGGTGGTGTTAATAGGACAGATTTTGCTCCCACATCTACAAAAGTGTTTCCTTTACAACTTCCTTTAAGCTTTCCGTAAAATATAGATCGTTGTCCCAACTGTGCTGTTAGGCCACCGCTGCTCTTTCAGTTCCTGAGACAGTGTTGCACCTTCAGTATAGATCTGAGTTGCGCCAGAACTCTTACTGCCTCTGGTTCCTTCTTCAACACACACACACAAATCTAAGACTTGGCCCATGAACTAGGTAGGAAAAACCCAGAACCCCTTGAAAAGGTGTGGAGAAGCATTCAAGTACTGAACAAGCCTTCACATCAATGCTTTTCTATCTTCAGGGTTCATTTCCTCAAACCCTAGGTAAGAATATTCTAATCTCCTTTATTTGGTTTACTGTAATAAGACTTGTACCTCTACCAAATATACAAATAAAGGTTTTTACATATTATCAGCTTCTGTTTTGTACACTGATCTCTTATATCCTGCCACATAATTCCCTGCACCAATTCATTCATTCTTTCAACAGTAGTTCATTGTTCATCCAACTCTACATAGTAGACACAGTTATACTGGTCTGATAATGCCTTTTATTAGAGATTTCTAAGCCCCTGATTAATCACATTTCCTTATTACCTTGCTTAACACAAACCATTAGACTGAGGTAGACGTACAAAGGAATCTGCCCAGGATAACTGGGCAAGGAATGAAGATGTACACACCCAGCTTTTCAGGCCTCTATGACACTACAGAGCATCTCCTTCTATACCAGAGGGGCTGATATAAGCCAGCATTTACGTACCAAAATCAGCCTCTTCCATGCACCAAGATATCAGCAGAGAACTACGAGTTTTTTCACCTTCCAAGGAAGTGTTCTAGCTACGTGGAGAGTATGAGGATCAGGCTTTAAACCACCACTGGATGCAAAGAATCCCTTGGCTTGCGCCCTTCCCTTTATGAAATAAAGGCTCCTTTACTTTGAGCGTTTATATTGCTCAATACCCGCCCTACACATGCACTCCCCCATAAAACAGGCTCACAAAGTAATGGGAAGCAGAACTACACTAATGTAATCTGAACTGGAGCTAACCTTGTTTGCGGGTTGTCAGCAAGGAAAGAGATAGGAAAGCAGAATGTAGACGTGGTGATAAAACCAGACTGCAGTTCTGTGGGGCTCCCAGCTCCAGAGGTACGAGAGAAGAGCATCAGGGAGATGTACCATCCTTCGAGCTCAGCAGGACATTAGAGCCAACCACAAGTAATAGCCAGAGGGAGGGAAAAAAGAGCTCAGGGAGAGCAACTTAAGAAAAATGGAAGTGTAAAGCCATAACCCATTCTGGAAGTGAAGCAGTATCACTAGAGAGAGGTGAAGGAACATCAGGGAGGAAGAAAACATCTGATGGGAGGACTTGAGAACCTTGGT